TGCCAAATGGTTTTGGTGATTTTGAATTTCTGATGGTACACTTCAGCAGTACTGCTAACATAAACTCAGTCAACCACACATTCCAATATAGTCCCCTCATGAAGTTGCAAAAATAAAACTCAAAAGCTTCTCAAATCAAATTACCAACAATACTGACCACCACCTCTCCATCAGTTCTACAATATCCTTGGTGGTGAACACATGTCAATATCAACATTCCACCAAAGTTTGAGCAAGCACACTGAACTTCACTCTAAATCCTAGGGTTAACAGAACTTAAGCAAACTGTAAACTTAAGCTGTTAGGCACAACAGGATTCTTAGCTCATTCACATCAGCTCAGAGAAGAACAAACAAACCATGAGATGCAAGTGTGAAGTGCAAAGCAGTGGGGGTGAATCAGGTTATGAGTAATAGCAGGCAGTCCAAAAACAAACATTTTGACAACCAATAGACAACCTTGTGGTATTCAAACAAACTCACCCATAGCAGAAATTCAGCAATTCAACCTATCTTTCTCAAAATATCAAACACACACCAACTTGAAAGGGGTTTGTTTCTCATCAAGAGATTTAAACAAAAAGCATACCACAGGCTGTGCTTAAAGGAAAAAACTTAACCAAATCCCTAGCAAACCAAAACATGGGCCCTAGGTCTAGAAGTTGTCTTGACAGCAAAAATTTATTGACAAGAACAAACTTACCTTTAACACTCATCCTAAGCCTCATATAAACCATACTTCAACAGCAAAGTTAGATCTCATGCTATTGGTAACCTTATCCCACAGTGGACAAAACACTTTCTAGCCATCAATCATGAATTAGAAAACTATGACAAAAAGGATCTTTGAGTGACAACACAAATTAAATGTCATAGTGGAATACACCCATTCACTAACAGATCTATGGTTCTAAGTACACAGAAAAATAACAATATCACCACATAATCATGAAATCAACAATAGTCAAGATGCTCCTAGGTTCACAGCACAACAATTGAACTAACATGACAGAAATATGTTCAAATATTTGTACTAATGCTTAGGAGAACCTCCATCATTCCCCACAGTAATCAATCATGAAAAATTACCAAAGTATACATAGCTCAAAGTCTAAAAAAACACACTAAAAAATGCCAATTTATGAAGGACAATGCTAAAGCCAATAAGGATCAATTACATACCTTTTGTAGATCCTTAGGAGTAGATTATATCAGTTGAGAAAACCATAGATTTGCTTGCACCAATTTTGCCCTTTTGAAATTTCTTCCACTTTAAGCCACAATACACTTTCAATGCCAAATGGAGAGATGTGAGTTTCCAGTGATTGGTGAGTGTTTGAACAGTTGAAGAATGTTATTTATGAGGTGTTAGGGGGATCAAAACTTCAAGAACATGTTTAGCACAAGATTTGGTGGTTTTTGGTAGCTTTGGTCAAAGTATGGTGGAATGAGAGTTGACTTTTTGATTTTTTGAGGTTCTTGATGTTTTAGTGAGTCATACACCTTCTATATGTCATTTAGAAGATGTGTGGATGGTTGTGAGAGTGTTGGTAATGCTATAAATGAAAATGGCATGAAAGTTGTAGAATGCCCATTTTTGGTGTTTTTGAGCTTTTCTTCACTTACAAGCAAGAAGAGAATGAGAAGGAGAGCTGTAATATGTTGATGTTATGAGCAGCTCTGGTGTGAAAAACAAGTGAGGGGTAGGGCTCTATTTATAGGAGAAAGAAGGATGAGGGCAGCTTGGTAACTTCCTTTTTTGGAGGGAGTTTCATGAAGTTTCTTCCAAATCTTGCCAAGATCTTCTTCCATCAGCTCCATGGCTCAATAAAGATCAGAAACATCAAGTGGAGATGTCCATGAAATGACTGAGGTGAGCTTAGAGGGTAGGATGGTACAGCTGCAGCAGTTGGAGATGAAAAGTTTCTCTCTCACTCTTACACATCTCAATATTTTAATCCATAAATCACAACTTGCATCTCTCTCTTTCCAACCTCTCTTTTTTTGTCATTTCCTTCCTCTACACATCTGAATATCATAATGTATCATGATCCAAGGGTGGAGAGTGGTTAGAGATGAAAAATTCTGATTTTGAGAAGTTGGACCAAGTGGATTTTAAGTGTGACAGGCCCAACTTCAATGCATCATAACTTCTTGCTCACAAATCCTTTTGAAGAGTTCTTGCACTTTTTACAAAGCCCTTGTGTAGCTCTACAACTTTCATGTTTTAGGAATTTCCAAATTCTTGATGGAACTAGGTTGAAAAACCCCTTAAAGTTAGCAAAAAACAAGTTTTGATGCAGCCAGATTTTGAAAAATTCACTAAGTGTTTTGTACTTAAAAAATGACTTTGATGATAACTCCAATTCCATGCATTTTCTGAGAGTGGACTAGTATAGGAATTTTGTAGGACTTGTTAAGAGCTTTCCGACGAGCTTTGAACCACCTCGTTCGGGTGTGTGGTTAGGGAGTTAGGGTTTAGCCCCTTTCGAAACCCTAATTTCCCGATTTTATGATTACTCTCACGTCTTTGATCCGATGATCATGAAAATTGATATGTAGGTCCCTCATGACATAAGGAACAACTTTGCTTCACCACTTGAAGTCCAATTCCTAAAACTTGAGGGGGTTGACTTTTCGGTCAACCGTACGATCGATCGGCGATTACCGAACTGTCTGTTCATGTTTCGGAGCTTCCAAGACTTTGAAACTCTTTGAGGGGACTTCACTAAGCCATATGAGCTTTTTAAACCATACTTTTATCCTTGAATTATTTCCCAAATCTAAAGTCAAACTACAGTTGACTTTTTCAACCCGAAAAACCCTAATTGGGTGCCTTGAACTGCACTGCACCCCATCTGTGGGTGATTACTTCAAATTGAACTCACACATGGCCCAATATGGTACTCTTGATCTTATTTCATAAATGATTCAACCCAAAACATTGGTTGCCCAATCCTCGAACCTTCGATTTTATCAGTGCGGAGCCCCGTTTCATCTGTGTCTTGACAAAATACACTTCGAAACTTGTTAAGGTTAGATAAATAAATGCATATGATATGAAGAGGATATAAGTGGTCAAAATTTGGGGTGCAACACATACCCACACAAAAATACAAAATCAACAGAAGAGAGAAATACACATCATTCATCCGTTGCTGATGCCAGTGAAACATCTTTTGCAATGATAATAAACTATTAATGTGACGCCTAGTTCAGGAGTAGAGAAAAATATTATAAATTAAAACATAGAAATAAATAAAAATATACTTACTACAAATCTTAAACCAGATATCCTTTTAGTTCCAGCCGCCGTGAAAATCATCAATGAAATAATTCACCATCAAGACCAAGATTTGAATTTCTGATGATTAACATGCGTCTCCAAACACCAATCAATATACATTCCCTTCGAAGCAGCCTGCAAAAAATACATATTAAGATGATTAACTGCAAAGGAACACACCTGGAAAATTTCATTAAGATCGTCTTCTCTTTGCAGAACTTCGCAACCCTTGTCCTAATGTTTATAAAATTTGGATCAAATTGCTCATAAAAGGATTCGAGTACCTGAAGATACCATAGAAAATATTAGGAAATCATGATATTTGGGATCCCAAGCACAAACTATATCCATTACAAATGAAGGCAGCCTAAAAGAAAACATGAGTTGTGTAGATACCAACTCTAGGACATACCGTAAAATACTTTGAGTAAGATATAAGCCAGTTCACAGAAGGAAAGTGCTTCCTTTGTGCAAGGAGGAATTTTTGAATGATTGATAGGTTTTAGAGCAAATATGGGGTAGAAGTAGAAAAATAATTGGATTTGTGTTTAATTAATTTGTTTTGAATACAATCCTTTTATAGGAAAAAGAAACTCGAAGAAGTTTAAATAGGTTCAAACCTAAAAAGGTTTTGTCAAAAAAAGGAAAAAAAAAGTCTAATAAGATTTCAGCCTATCGTAACAAATTCTAAATCTTTTAATATTTTATTTAACAACAATATCCGAAAAAACTTGACAAAGGCATTAAAACTCTATTTATTTGTTTTAACAAACATCCTTGGTGGAAGATTTTGTCATTAATAATAGCTAACACGATTTGAATTTTTCTTAGGATAAAAACTAACACCATTAATATTTGTGACAAGAATTATGTAGGGATATCTCATATCATTAGTTATTAATTCAGATTTTCTACTATAATGTTAGTGTTAAATTTCATCAAATTTAACTAAATAAAGATAACAAGTTTTTTCATAAAACAAACATTAGTATTGTTAATTTTTCTTAAAAATATGAAGATTAATTGTTTTTTTTTATTGTGGCCTAGTAATCCAAATCAACAAGATTTTTTTAATATAAAAACTAACTAGATTCTAATTGATTTGTTTTATTTTAAGGAATAACCTAAATTCTAATATTAATCAAATCAATTTAATGAAATATAATAAATTAAAATTTATTTTTAATTCTAATCAACCTTTTTTTATCAACCAAACAAAATTCAATACTTAGTTGGTCCAATGGCTAACAATGTGGCCTATATGTGTCTCAGCTCTATTAGATTTTACATTCTGGTTTTGTTTGGTACTCCTTCAATTCTCTTTTAAGTACAGTAGAAACTCTTTAAATTAATAATGTTAGAACTGGAGAAATTTATTAATTTAGAGAGTTATTGATTTATCGATTAATTAATAATTATTAATTTAAAGAGTTTTTAAGTAATTATATTGTACATACCAAACAAAAAGGCAAATTAGTCTATGCCTCTTAGAATTACGTTGTAGCGAACCTTGAGACTCAACGTAAATTAGTAACTACTGTGTTCATATGCATTAAAAATTAATAATGACTTTTGAAGTACAGTAAATGTAAACAAGAGGAACAAATGTGTTCAATGTATTCTTAAGCAAGTTTGTCATATATAAATTACATGAATGTGTTAGAGTATTCAAATCATATCTCACAAAATGGCTTCTCATCTTTGCAAAATTAACTATGTCAGATCAAATATGTAAGGAGTTGTGTGAGTACAAGAGAGATAATCTTGCAAGCACACAAAAAGACTTGCAAAGATGGCTTGAGGGAAAATTTCAGTTGAAAGTTAGTCAAGGAACAATATCAAACACACTTAAACGGTCAAATGACTATCTCTCTGCTAAAATAGAAAATGGAAGAGCAGAGATCAAAAGACACAAACCAACAAAATTTCCTGACATGGAGAAGGTTGTTTATGAATGGTTTCTCCAGCATCAAGAACGTGTGAATATCACAGGAGAATTAATTTTGCAGAAGGCAAGAGATACAATGAAACTCGTGTATATGGCATAAAGTCATTTCGTTGTTTTGGCGAGAGTGGGTATGTTGATGTACAAGACATGCAGCAGAAATTGGTATCGATTCGCGAGAAAATTGATCAGTTCCCTATGAAAGATGTTTTCAATATGGATGAAACTGGGTTGTTTTATAGGCTACAAGTTGATCATTCACTGACAACAAAACAACTTGAAGGAAGAAAACAAGATAAAGAAAGGCTGACGGAAGTTATTTGTTGCAACGAAGATGGCTCTGAAAAAATCCATCTATGGATTATTGGGAAATATGCAAAGCCTTGTTGCTTCAAGAATGTCAACATGAATAGCTTGAATTGTCAGTATCGAGCTAACAAAAGAGCATGATGACTAGTGTGCTTTTTGATGAATATGTTCATTCATTTGACCAAATGATGCATGGTAGAAGAGTTTTACTTGTGGTGGATAATTTTCCAGCACATCCAAGAAATATTGAAGAGCTAAGAAACATTGAGTTGTTCTTCTTGCCTCCCAACATGACATCAAAGATTCGACCTTGCGATGCTGGGATAATAAGAGCTTTCAAGATGAATTACCTTAGAAGGTTTTACCGCAAAATATTGGAAGGTTATGAGGTGGGACAGTCTAATTCAGGAAAGATAAATGTCCTTGATGCTATCAATTTAGAAATCCCAGCTTGGACAATAGATGTTCGAAAAGAAACAATAGTGAATTGCTTCCGACACTGTAAAATTCGTTCAGCTAGTGACGTTGCAAGAAATTTGGATGAATCCACTTTTGATAAAGAAACTCAAGACCTCGAGACTATGATCAATCAACGTAGCTATCATAATAAAATGGATATCGACAATCTAATGAATTACCCTGGTGAAAATGAAGCATGTTCGGAGGTTCATAGTTTAGAAGATATTGTGGGTACTATCATTGAGAACAATGCAGAGGATGACGACGAAGATGATACGGTGTCTTTGGAGCCTGTTACGCGAAAGGAAGCACTTATGGCGTCGAACAGTCTTTACAACTTTATGATATAATACAAAAATACAACACCTGAGCTATTGGATGCAATAACAAAAGTTAGAGATGAGCTCTAAATAGACTTGAACTTTAAAGGAAAACAGACAACTATTGAATCATATTTCAATAGAGTGTAATATATATTTTTTCAATTTCTATGAATTAATAATTTATGATTTTCTTGGGACCGAAAATTATAAAGGGATCTCCCAAAAAATTATTATCTTATTATTTTATCGAGTTTTTCAATTTTTTACATTGGCCCAAATCGGGATCGGACAAATTTATTATTTTAGAGAGTTTATTAATTTACCGAGTATTAATTTAAAGAGTTTCTACTATATTACCTTTTTGTTTTTTACGTATACTAAAAAAGCTAATTAATATTGTAACTTTTCATACAATATATTTTTTTTATCTATAATACCCCTAATTATTTATTACATTCATTTTACTTGTTCTCTCTATCTGTAATAATTATCTAGGAGTAGTTTTGACAAAAATGCAGTTAATACTATCTTGAATTTTGTACGTGATAATTAAAAAGAAACAAAAATTATCCAAAAAGTGACACTTAAAAAGAACATAGGGAGTATTCAATTGTACAAGCGCCACTACATTGTTTTTTCAAGAGGTTTCCAAGTACACAACTTCTTTTTCTATCTCATGCACTAGAATATTATTTGTTCGAGGGGTATGCACAAACCTAGCCTAGGTTATCGATTTCCCATTCCACCTCCTGCATTATGTTTTGTATCGCAATCTCTATTTTCATCACTACAACATCCGCTGCTTGGGGATCGTTGTCTCTTTCATTTTTAGCTTGGGCTTTTTTAATGATATCCCCATCCTAGTTAGAGAAGATAACTGCAAGCCTCCAACTCCCTCTTTGAGAAAGGTTACCATCGGTATTACTCTTTATCCATCTCTGATTATGTGGAATTCTTTGAACTTTACATTCTTTTTAATTTATTGAAGTTTGTCATCTCATCGTTTCTACTTGTTTCAGAATTTCGTTGAATGTCTTTAACTCTTTTACTTTATTCCTGAGTCGTATCACCATTTAGGTAACCTACATTTATTTGCTTTCCCCATTCATCTAATATTTGATCACTTTGCATGTTAGTGATCAAACTGTGCTCTTTTTTGTTTCTGCGAAGATCTTTATCATTCCGACCTATCATCATTTTATTCCTGCATTCCTCTACCTTTTTTTACAACTTCAGAGCCTGATTGGAGGTATCGTTCATCTTATTTATGCTCTAAATCACCGTGTGATTTCCATTTATTACTATACCTTTATACTTACTCCCTTCGGTCTTATCTATAAGCAAAAGTCTTTTAATTTTTTAACCATAAATATAAGTAAATGTAAACAAATCTATGTGTATTTAATGTCTTGATTCCAAAAATATTCCTGCATTAATCATTTAATATTGTTGGTGGAAGATAATTTAATGAGGCTATATTAGTAATTATGTTATTTCTCTCACATGAAATCAATAAAATTAAATATACTTAACTATATTTCTTAATAAACGTGAAATTTGTCTTTTTTTGCTTGTAAATCAAGCCGGAGTAGTATTTCTCTGGATAATATCTCCCTTTTCCGTTTGCATGTTGTTCTTCTGGGGTCTTGATTCTTAATCATGCAAGTGGGGTCCTTCTGATGGACGTTTTGATTTTTATGACAATGATTGTTTTTCATGATACCAATTACCTCTAGAAACAGGGGTTTTTGTGTTAGTAGTTTTAACCTACAATGAGATGGAATCTAATTATCCTCCCAAATATCTACCTTGTTCCTTTTCATATGTTATGGGGACTTCTTCATAGATAAATAGGTCTCCTACCTAGCTTAACTTTCAGTATTTCACTATTAGTGTAGTATTTGGATTTAATCACCCTATCTACTTGATCGGTAAATTAGCAAGTGTACTAATCTTCCAATATAGTAATAAGGGAAATTCTCCAAATATTGATCTCAAGGACTGCTTGACGATACAGAGTTTGTGCTCCAATTAGTTAAACAAAAGACTTGTGGGTTTTTAATTGGTGTTTTGAAAATAGAAAATAAATTATAATTAAAAGTAAACAGGGTAGTTGAACGGTTTAATAAAATAATATGAGTGAACATGCTAAGGAAGGTGTATGATTGGATTCTTCAACAATTGTAACCTGACCTGATAACAACATAATTTAACAATATTGACTACTCGTTCTTAAGGTTGTTTACTCCTAAGTGCTTAATGAGAAAACCTTTAATAATTAAAATTAACTCTTATGTCCATAATGAATTACAGTTGAAGTTAAGCATTATTTTTATCAAGAATGTTTCAGTTTCCATGGGGTATCCCTAGTCCTAGATGATATCTGCTATGAAATACTTTTAATTGAGCGTTAATAAAGGCGGTACAGCCCAACAATTAACTGTAAATCAAACTCAATTTTTATGAAAGAGAAAGCATTAAGAACAAATTGAAAGTAAGTCAAATATCATAAAAAGTTTGTCATCACAAGGTTCAAATCATAACTATTTCACAAATCCGAATTAGGTACACCCCTGGCATTGAGGGGTTTAACTGCTTATAATATCAAAGTAAAACAAAATACAAGATGTAGACATTAAAAATTAAGAGATGAAATTAGGTCTTTAATCATGAAAATTTCATGAAAAGCTTGGTCCACCTTGAAAATCTAAGTTCTCCAGCCTTCAAAACATGTTCCTTTAGTGCAATATCGTCCAAGCCTTGGAAAATTTGTGTTTTTCGCCTAATTAGAAGAAATTTGGGCTTTTTTCAGATCTAGGCATGCCGGGTGGACAATGCGCCCATAAATAAACGCCTCGACTCCTGCTTTTCTTCACAACAAGAGGATAACAAAAGCATGTCCTAGAGACTTCGTCATCCTACTCTGAATCATCTTATCAATATCAGAAGAAATAATGCACCCAATGTTCACCGTTGTTAGGTCAGCATCAAATAAAACGATAAAGCTCTCATGGTGATAAACGCATATCCACTTTGATTCTTATTTAAAGTGTGGTGCAAAAATCAGGTCTACGCCTTCAGAACCGCATTCAAATTAACCATTGCAATCTTTCTCGGAATAGGAGCAGATCCATGCTTCCAATGTCTACACTCTAATGCCAAGTGATCCAGCTTTGCTCTATACAGCCATCCAATCCTATAAGTTGTCTTTTGAATCAAATAATGGAAATTAGGCTCTCTGAACTTCATCTTCAGCAACTTGTTTGTCGTCTTCCATTCAAATTGGCTCTACTTCCACCTAACCCAAGAAATCTACTCAGGCTCTATAGTAGTGTCCTCAGTGAGGGGTACGTAAGCATTAGTATAGAATTCCAGCACCAACTCCTTAGCCACTAGATGGATATGACTGTTCAAATAAGTTAGCTTACACTTTTTCAGAGTAGCATGAATGTGAGGGTACTCATCTGGGGGCAGGTTAAAGGCCCCCTCCTCTATAATTTTCCTATCCAGCAAACTAAAATATCTCTCTTGGTTTTAGTAGAGATAAATCTAATAGAATTAAAATATGAAGAAGAAGAAGAAGAAGAAGAAGAAGAAGAAGTGTCCATGGGTACTGGTACTGAGCATATGTGTCTTGTATCAAAGAAAAACTTCAAAAACACAAGACACTCAGACAACTTTTTCAGATAAGGAGACATGGCAATGGCTCAGGGTGCAGAATGGCAGGAAAATGTTAGAAAAATATATATAGTGCCACGTACCCTTCATACGCGTATGATACTCGACCCGAATAGGACACACGTGTATAACACATCCTATACGTATATGGGCAGAGGAAAAATCAATGTAAAGTCTAGACCATGTATCATATGCGTATACTTCCAGGTGATTGTTACATATGTGTATCATCTGGCCATACACGTATGCCCCAAATTTTAAAATTAAATGTGATCTTTGAGATTCCTCATATGCGTATGGAGACCTCCATGTGTGTATGAGAAGAGGACTTAAATAAATGGACTTTTTGGAATCCCCATACGCGTATGGAATGGGTCGTACGCGTATGGGTAAGAGGCAAAAAAATTTCAATTTTTTTCTTTTTGTTCCTGCCTTGCCTTTATGATTTTTCCTTTTTCGCTCGGCTCTGTGACACACGACTCATGAAAATGAAATACACAAATAAAATGAGACAAATAAAATAAAAAATATTGTTACCTCTCTTGGGTTTCCTCCCAAAAAGTGTTTTGAATGTCCATAGCTCGAAGTACGATCAGTCTATGATGCTATGAGTTGCACCTCTCCCAATAGGCCACTCTTTTGTAAATGATGGTAGGGTTTCAACCTCTTTCCATTGAAATT